GTTAAAAAAAAGGGTAACAGTTTTTCACGAAGACACTCGCAGGTGGACATCACGTATGAATTGTAATATCAAACAGGTCAATGAAGACATAACAATGGAAAGAAGAAGAAGTTTCTTTCGAACATGTTTTTTGTTAAATTAAGTGTGAGCACACATTTGTCGGCTCTTCTCCCTTTAATATAACATTATTTTGTTCAATATACAACTATAGTTTTCTTAAGAACAGCCGACAAACATGTGCTGACGATGTATTCAGACGATGAAAAACGCGTGACCCTGATTATCTATTGATATTCAAGAAATCTTCAGGCACCATGCCTTCGATATTTATTTAGTTTACCTCTAAAAAAAGCTTTTATTCGTACCCTGAATGCACGGTTAAGATATCGGGAATTTATATAATGGAAAAAAATAAACATTTTGTGAAACTTAAATTTACGGCTTTTTTCTGGCCAGTTAAGTCCACCCATTCTTTGTTAATAACGACAATACAATTTTACCAAACATACAATATGAAACAAAAGTGGCAGATTTTGTGATATCTTCTATTTTAGGTTTATTTGGGTATGGTGAGTTGAAATTTGAATGAAAGTATCTATTTGTAATTGATAATATGACGTCGATATATCTGAATATCGGACTGAAGGTTACAGCAAGTCTTCTCTTCATCTCCTGTGAACCTTTTTGCTGTAAATTCTCCCTGAAAGCATCACTCTTGTGTGCAAACTACAGTAAAAACCCGATTTAACTTTTGCTCCATATCTCAGATGTCAACGCACTTGGTATTAAGAAACCACTGCATCCATCTTCAGAATGAAAACTCAGCACCGTATTTAAGTAAAAGTTCAGCGATACTATCATGACCATATGAGTGTGTTATGCACAATGGACTCTTATTTTTTTTATTGCATAAATTAACACAAGCACCATTTTTTAATAACAATTGGACCGTGCTTTCATGTCCGTTTTTGCAGGCTATGTAGAGTGGACTGATTCCCTCGTTGTCAGATAAATTGATATTTGCCCCGTTCTTCAATAAAAAATTAACCATGCCCTCATTTCCATTGAAACATGCTAGGAACAGCGGACTGCAGTTCCCTTTATTGCATAAATTTACATCAGCACCTGAATTCAGTAGAAGTTCGATTGTACTACAGTGTGAGTTTTCACAAGCTGTCCAAAGAGAACTGTTTCCATCATTATCACATAAATTGATGTCGGCACCGTTGTTCAGTAACAGTAGTACCAAGTTATCATGTCCATTGTGACAAGCTATAGAAAGAGGACTGGCTCCAATCTTGTTACATAAATTGATGGCTCCCCTTTTCAGTAATAGTTGTACCGTTTTATCATGTCCATTTTCACAAGCTACATAAAGAGGACTGTCTCCATCATTATCACATAAATTGATGTCAGCACCGTTCTCTAGTAGCATTTGTACTATGTTTTCATGTCCATTTTGACAAGCTATATAAAGAGGACTGTCTCCATCATAATCACATAAATTGATGTCGGCACCGTTGTTCAGTAACAGTTGTACGGTGCTATCATGTTCATTTTGACAAGCTATATTAAGTTGACTGTATCTATTCTGTTTATATAAATTGATATTGGCACCGTTATTCAGTAACAGTTGTACCGTGCTATCATGTCCATTTTGGCAAGCTATAGAAAGAGGAGTGATATCAATCTGTTTACATAAATTGATGTCGGCACCGTTATTTAGTAACAGTTGTACCATGCTATCGTGTTTATTTTGACAAGCTACATGAAGAGGACTGGTTCCATTCTTGTTACATAAATTGATGTCAGCACCGTTGTTCAGCAACAGTTGTACTGTATTTTCATGTCCTTCAAAACATGCTATAGAAAGAGGACTTAATCCATTCTGTTCACATAAATTGATGTCGGCGCCGTTGTTCAGTAACAGTTGTACCATGCTATCGTGTTTATTTTGACAAGCTATTTGAAAAGGATTGGTTCAATTCTTATTACATAAATTGATGTATGCACCGTTGTTTAGTAACAGTTGTACAGTGCTATCATGTCCATTTTGACAAGCTATATAAAGAGGACAAGCTCCATTCTTGTTACATAAATTGATGTCGGCACCGTTGTTCAGTAACAGTTGTACCGTGCTTTCATTTCCCTTATAACAGGCTATATAGAGCGGACTCTCTTCATTCCTGTTACATAAATTTATGTTGGCACCATTGTTAAGTAACAGTTGTACCATGCTATCATGTCTATTTTGACAAGCTATATAAAGAGGACAAGCTCCATTCTTGTTACATAAATTGATGTTGGCACCGTTGTTCAGTAGCAATTTTACTGTACTACCATGTCCATTTCGACAAGCTATGTGAAGAGGACTCGCACCATTCTTGTTACATAAATTGATGTCTGGAGCGTTGTTAAGTAACATTTGTACCGTGCTATCATGTCCTTCAAAACAAGCCATTGAAAGAGGACTAAATCCATGCTTTTCACATAAATTAATGTCGGCACCGTTGGTAAGTAACAGTTGTACAGTGCTATCATGTCCTTTTTGACAAGCAATATAAAGAGGACTTACTTTATTCTTGTTACATAAATGGATGTCGGCACCTTTTCAATAACAGTTGCACCGTGCTATAATGTCCTTTTTGACAAGCTAAATAAAGAGGACTTACTTTATCCTTTTTACATGAATTGATGTCTGCACCGTTATTTAATAACAGTTGTACCGTGCTATCATGTCTATTTTGACAAGCCATATAAAGAGGACTGGCACCAACCTTGTACATAAATTGATGTAGGCCCCAGTGTTAAGTAAAAGTTGTACTGTACTATAAAGTCCTTCAGAACAAACCACAGAAAGAGGACTAAATCCATTCTTTTCACATAAATTGATGTCGGCACCGTTGTTAAGTAACACTTGTACAATGCTATCGTATTTATTTTGACAAGCTATATGAAGAGGACTGGTTCCATTCTTTTTACATAAATTGATGTATGCACCGTTGTTAAGTAACAGTTGTACCTCGCTGTCATGTCCATTTAGGCAAGCTATATAAAGAGGACAAGCTCCATTCTTGTTACATGAATTGATGTCGGCACCGCTTTTCAGTAAGAGTTGTACTGTGCTATCATTTCCCTTATAACAAGCTATAAAGAGTGGACTCTTTTCATTCCTGTTACGTAAATTGATGTCTGCACCGTTGATCAGTAACAGTTGTACCGTGCTATCATGTCTATTTTGACAAGCTATATAAAGAGGACAAGCTCCATTCTTGTTACATAAATTGATGTCGGCACCGTTGTTCAGTAGCAGTTGCACCGTACTACCATGTCCAATTTGACAAGCTATATAAAGAGGACTTGCACCATTCTTGTTACATAAATTGATGTCTGCCCCATTGTTCAGTAACAGTTGTACCGTGCTATCATGTCCTTTAAAACAAGCCATGGAAAGAGGATTAAATCCATGCTGTTCACATAAATTGGTGTCGGCACCGTTGTTCAGTAACAGTTGTACCGTGCTATCATGTCCATTTTGACAAGCTATATAAAGAGGACTGGTTCCATTCTTGTTACATAAATTGATGTCGGCACCGCTGTTCAGTAAGAGTTGTACCGTGCTATCATGTACTTTTTGACAAGCTATATAAAGAGGACTTACTTTATTCTTGTTACATAAATTGATGTCGGCACTGTTGTTCAGTAATAGTTGTACCGTGCTATCATGTCCTTTTTGACAAGCAATATAAAGAGGACTTACTTTATTTTTGTTACATAAATTGACTTCGGCACCATTGTTTAATAACAGTTGTGCAGTGCTATCACGGCCATTTTGACATGCCATATAAAGAGGACTTGCACCAATCTTGTTACATAAATTGATGTCTGGAGCGTTGTTAAGTACAATTGTCCGTACTATCATGTCCTTCAAAACAAGCCATGAAGAGAGGACTAAATCCATGCTGTTCACATGAATTGATGTCGGCACCTTTGTTTAGTAACAGTTGTACCGTGCTATCATGTCCTTTTTCACAAGCTATATAAAGAGGACTTACTTTATTCTTGTTACATAAATTGATGTCGGCCCCATTGTTAAGTAACATTTGTACCGTACTATCATGTCCTTCAAAACAAGCCATAGAAAGTGGACTTAATCCATTCTGTTCACATAAATTGATGTCGGCAGCGTTGTTAAGTAACAGTTGTACCATGCTATCGTGTTTATTTTGACAAGCTATATGAAAAGGACTGGTTCCATTCCTGTTACTTAAATTGATGTCGGCACCTTTTCAGTAACAGTTGTACCGTGCTATCATGTCCTTTTTGACAAGCAATATAAAGAGGACTTACTTTATTCTTGTTACATAAATTTATGTTGGCACCGCTTTTCAGTAAGAGTTGTACCGTGCTATCATTTCCCTTATAACAGGCTATATAGAGCGGACTCTCTTCATTCCTGTTACATAAATTTATGTCGGCACCGTTGTTAAGTAACAGTTGTACCGTGCTATCATATCTATTTTGACAAGCTATAGAAAGAGGACAAGTTCCATTCTTGTTACATAAATTGATGTCAGCACCGTTGTTCAATAAGAGTTTAACAGTACTAAAATGTCCATTATAACAAGCTATCCAAAGAGGACTGAATCCATCATTATCACATAAATTGATGTTGGCACCTTTGTTTAATAACAGTTGTACAGTGCTATCATATTTATTTTGACAAGCTATATAGAGAGGACTTGAAAGGCTTTTCATGCACAAGTTTACAATAGCTCCATTCTCCAATAACAAATCTATCAAATTATTTAACCCTTCTTTACAAGCGGTATAAGGAAGACCGTTTTCTTTGTTTGCATACATTTTGACCTTGGTGCCACTCTTCAGTAACAACTGAGCTGTACTTTCTTTTCCTTCTTGACAAGCTATATCCAGAGGGTTGTATCCATTATTAGCAGATAAATTGACATCAGCGCCGTTGTTTAATAGCAGCTGGACCGTTCTGTCATGCCCTTTTTGACTAGCTATGTAAAGGGCGCTATAACCATTGTAAGCACAATAATTGATGTTGACTTTTTCGTTCAGTAATAATTGAACTGTGGTGTCATGGCCATTTTCACATGCAATATAGAGAGGACTTAAATTATTTCCTCTGATGTATAAATTGGCATCAGCGCCATATTTCAGTAGCAGTTGTACTATGCTATCATTCCCCTTTTGACAAGCTATGTGGAAAGGACTGAAATTATTCTCAGCACAAAATTGATGTTAGCACCATTATCAAGTAACATTTGGACTATTTTTTCTTGTTCCTTTTGACAACCTATATAGAGAGGACTAAATCCATTTTTAGCACATAAATTTACATTGGCAGCATTGGTCAATAATAAATGGACGATGCTTTCATGTTTATTTTGACAAGCTATGCAGGAGGACTATACCCGTCGTTATCACATAAATTGACGTCGGCGCCCTTGCTCAATAACAAGCGAACTGTGCTGTTATGTCCCTTTTTGTAGCTATGTGGAGAGGTCTGTATCCATTATTTTGAATGAAAGGGTCGAGGTTAGCACACGAATTGATGTTGGCACCTTTGTTTATCAATAAGTGGACTACATTGTCATGTCCATTTGAGCAAGCTAAATACAGAGGACTGTTACCAAATTCATAGCATAAATTAATATCAGAACCATAGTTCAGTAAAGATTCGGCTATGTAGGCATATCCCTTCTGACTCGCCACATGGAGAGGACTGTTCCCATTACTATCACATAAATTGACGTCTGCTTCCTTATTCAATAACAGTTGTACTGTACTTTCAAGTCCTTTTTCAGAAGCTATGTGGAGAGGACTGTATCCATTTCTTTTATCTAAAGGTCTGAATTTATTGTAAACACGCAAATTGACGTTGGCACCGCTGTTTAGTAACACTTGTAAAATGTTGTCATGTCCCTTTTCACAAGATATGTAAAGTGGGGTGTATCCTCCGTGAGAACATAAATTTACGTTTGCTCCATTGTTCAGTAACAACTGGGCAATGTTGGCATGCCCATTTTGACAAGCGACAAATAGGGGATTGTTATAGCCTTTAATGTTTAAATTCACATGGGCGCCATTGTTGAGTAATAATTGGACTGTGCTCTCATATCCCTTTTGAGAAGCTATATGGAGAGGACTGTATCCATTTTTGTCAGATAAATTCACATTGGCTTCTCTCTTCAGTAAATAATTTACTATGCTCTCTATTCCAGTTTGACAAGCAATATGAAGAGGACTGTGTTTATCATTATCACATAGATTGACGTTGGCGCCATTATTCAGTAACAGTTGTACCGTGCTTGCATGGCCGTTTTGACAAGCTATATGGAGAGGACTGTATCCATCGTTAGCACATAGATTAATCTCAGCACCGTTTTTTATTAAGCATAGAACTGTTTCATTACGTGTTTCGTCCCCATCTTTCTCCTTTCCTGCCTCCTGTCTATGCTCCTCATCATTTCCTGCTGCTAATAATAAGGGTGTCAACATATTATCATTGGTAAGCATGTTGACATCAGCACCAAGTCTTAGTAAGTATGGAATAATGAAAAAGTTTTGGAAGGCAGAAGCAATATGGATCGGTGAAAATATACCCCAAATACCCTTTATAGCTTTTTCTTTGTATTCCTGGCTGAGATAATTCAATAAGTTTATATCCCCATTGGCACAAATAGCAAAAAATATAGAGTGGTCATACATCGGAATTTCTTTTATAGTCCTTAAAAAAAACTGAGATATTTCCTCATGACAAAAAAGTATGAATGTGTTCAAAGGACACATGTCATCTCCCCAGTCAAGAAATGCTAGTCTTGTGAAATTAAAATCGCAACTACCTTTTACAAAGGATGACATATCTATTTTCAACTTATTTCTAGGAAGAATATATGACAAATTTACAGACTGGACCTTTTCTTTAAATTTTTTTATCACATTTTTATTCCGTAGACATGGGTTGATAACAACATCCACTAAGTTTTCTGTTTGCATGTCGATGATAAACCTGTCTACAAGATCACCAATGTACCCTTCACGCAGGTAAACAGTGAAGGGATCGCGATCTTTCTCTTCTGTATCGTCTTCTATCTTCACTCGACGTCTCAGAAAACCACTGTCTGCGTACTGTATTATCTCCAGTGGACAATTAACACCAAATACTAGAGTCGTTATCTCCATAATAAAGTCGTGAAGAAATTGGAAACCATAACCGACACGTTTGACATAGGATCCTTTTAGTTCATGTAAAGTACTGTCAAATACCGAAATATGTGTGTTTTCTTGTAACTCACACATTCCTAAAACGTCTCTATATTTCTTCATAGAAAATTCATTTCTTACGATTGTATCTATTTCCAGATTGTTTTTAAAAGCAACAACTAAAATAAGAGCGCAGAATTTCTTCTTGTCCATATTCTTCCAAATTTCAATTTCTCGTCTAATGAACTTGTACGGATATTTGAAGAAGTCAAGCCCATTTTCCTTGTAATTTGACCTAGAATAAAGCTTACAAAGCAATGGGAAATATGCTTCTGTTTTGATTATTTCAGAAACAATTTCTTCAGAAAGCTCTAGATTCTGTGTGTATTGATTGAGGATTGCTCTTTTCTCTACATCAGTCAGTCGATTTTTCTCGTTGTCAATTTCTACAATGGTGGATTTCTCGAATAAAATACCCTTCACTCTCTTGTCATTAAGAACACATCTTCTACAGGACACAAGTAGTTTCACTTTCTTCAAGCAAATCTCTACTGTTTTCTGATGCATTTTCCATGAAGTATACAGGATATCATCGAAAGATTCTTTACCTAAAGGATCATTGAGTACAAAAAGGGTATCATTTTTTGTCGAATACGAATATTTCTCTTTAATTTCGCTAACTTCATCAACTGGACATACATTAATTCCCCAATCTTTATACTTGAGTGCAATATGTTGAATAATCGCAGATTTACCAGATCCAGAATTTCCGACAACTGTGACTAAGTTCTGACTTTTAAGCTTTTCCTCGACGGTTCTACTTGCTTTTGTAGGAATAAAAGCAAAGTTCTCTTCCTGCCAGTCCTCGAGAATCATGTCTTGCATTGATTTCCCTGTAACAGATTCAATGCTTTATATGAATGAAAAGTGTAAATATCAGATGACGGTTGTCCATGATATCCTAAAAAATCTGTAACCCCTAGTATAGAGACTGAGAGCACATTCTTCATCATTACAAAGTTAATGAAAAAATCTTTGCAGCAAATAGATATTTACAAGGAAAAGAAAACAGCAAAATTCGCATATATTTCTGGATAAGGAAAAAGACTTGTTTTATTATCTTTAAATCAATCAATTTTGCAGAAAATAATAAAACTAGCAATTAAAAAACGCACATTGGTTTTAAGGCACCCTGATTATCACGAGTATTTCTGGAAGATATTCAATATATTTTAACGTTTATGACGCTTTGATTATTTTCATTAAAATTGTCTAAAAGGTTAGGATTAAACAAAATTAGGTAAGATTAAAAATTAAAAGTTTAGACTATACTTTCCTTGTTCAACAAATTTCATCAAAAGTCTAATTCCTGCATGAGTTTACTTGCTTAAGAAAGGATCTTAAATATGATTTAATAATTATGAATGACCAAATAGCCTAGCCTGGTAGGGGATATAATATAAATTTTAGCAAAGGCATGAAGATCATTATTAACAATCAAATAATTTGCCTTTTAAATGCCCATCAGATGTGGAAAAGGGGTTTTAAAAGTAAAATGATTTTTATTATTTTCCGATTTGACCAAGGGCCAAAGAATTGTTTTTCTCACTTTTTAAGGCCAGGAACTACTCAAAATATTCAATGAAATAACTGGGAAAGAAGATGGGGATTCAAAGCAGGCAGAATATTGAGAAATCATATTCAATTTTTGAACTGAGTATCTAAATCAACTTCTCATTATTGAAATTTATGAAATTATGAGAAGAAAACCTTTTCTGAGAGAAAAAAATCTTTTATAAAATATCAGTCGGTATTCGTGGGATTTTTTTACCTCTGGCAATAAAAATTCGAGGTAGCATACTTCTTTGAGACTAATGTGCTTACCACTATACGCATCGCTCATGATAATTTCGTTCATTTAAATCATGTTTGTGATATGACCCTTGACTTTATGGACTTTCTCAGAAAGATGCGGATGTTGTGCCAAAAAAGAGTACATTCAAAGTATAGTGGGTCATGTCTCCATAATTTTGAACACCAAAAATAAACTTTTTATTGAAAACCTTTAGGATTATCTTTCAAAAAATTAAGCAAAAGACCTACTCGTATTTACAAAAAAAAAATTAAGTATGATAAAATGATCTTTTTTGTTCTTTTCAGTGTGTGAATGGCAATTTTCTTTTTATTTCTTTTTTTTTTAATTGTAGAGATTTTACTTTAAATACTTTAAAATTAATGAGATATCAAATAAAATTTTGATATTGAGATTTGATTTTTAACTTTTTATATCCATTTCATTCCTCTTATTTGTCGCACTATAGGCGCTTCGTCCGCCTATTTCCTCATCTTCTTAAATATGCAATTCTAAATTAACATTTTTTTAAGCAATTAACCCCATCCTAATAAGTCGTATAATTAAAATATATCATTATCCTCGTCTTTTTTTGCACTTCTTAAATTCGAATTTTTATCTTTCCCCATTGTTTCTCTGTTGAACACATTAACACCAAATTGATGACTTTCTCTTCCCGGATCAAGATGTTGAAGACATACCTTGCAAACGTAATTCCAAACAAGATATCTTTTCCATAAGATCTCTATGATTCTTATAATCGTTTTCGAGTTTTGCTATGACGGCTTTCCTACTTTCTTCTTCTAGTGCCTGACATTGAATATTGCTCAGTCCAGACATGTAGTCTTTGTTAGTGTACCTTTGCAATCTTAAGCAGATATCAGCTATGACTGACCACGTGTCATCAAAATCTGTCTGTGATGTAGAAGCCGAGCTTATGTGTCCAAACATAGTGTTTCTTATCATCCTTATCCTCTCAATGTCGTCGCCAACAGATATTTCTCTTACTGAAGGCATTGTGTTCCCACCCCAACCTTTTGTTGGCCGGGGAATTTTTGTACATATGTTTCTTATCAGCGTATATAACAATGTTATATCGAATTCTTTATATCCATCTGTTTTGGCGCCTATAAGACTAAGTTCT